AACGATAAAATGCTAATTTTGAACGGCAAGAGGCTAGATATCCGTGGCTAATTAACCTGAAAATGCTATCTTTTTTCAAAATTAAACGATGTTAACTCAAACACAAAATCGAAGAAATTGTTTTTGTTTAGGTACAATTGAAGAGTTTTATTGAGTTATCATTGCATTGAAAAAATAAAAATCAACATTTCCTGCCATAGATCCTAAATTTTGCTATGCTTAAAAAAGTTTTATATTAGCCTTAGTACACTCAGAATTTTTTTTAATAAATATAACAAAAAAATTAGTTTTTTTTTATAAAAAATTATGTATCTACAAACGCTGCTTTCAGTAATATCATTTGCATTAATTATAAAGTAAATTTACGTTATGTTTATAAAAATAACACTCTTCCAGATGCAGAAACGGATTGATAAATATAATTATTATTATTTGTCAAAAAAAAATATTAAAAAAGTATTTTTATAGCAATACATTTTTTTGTTATTGTTCTTAAAGTAAGCTATTAACAAAGATTTTCTAACCGAAATAAAATTAATTTATAATTATAATTAATATATATATATGTAAATATAAATTTATTAATATTAATATTAATTCTTTAAAAATGAATTAGTAAAAAATGACTAATTTTTATATATATTTATTAATAGATATATACATATATGCATATTAATACTCTAAAAAGAATTATTTTTAGAGTATTAATATGCATATATGTATATATATATTAATAAATATATATATATATATATATATATTAAATATAATTATAAATTAATTTTATTTCAGTTAGAAAACCTTTGTAATTATAATTAGTCAAAAATGATGAAAAGCAGCAACTAATAATTCTCGTCAATAGCAATTTGTATACCGAACATTTAGCAGTCAATTTTCATGTAAAATTATCCCTTGAATCCGAAAATGTCGTTAAAAGATAGAAAAGTAGAACAGTTTTTGAGATATAGTCAATTTTCCATTTTTAATAAATATATATTTTATATTATTTTGTATTAATATTAAGGATCTGTAAAACATATCTATAGATAGATGTAAATTATAATTATAAATAGTTAAAATAGACTTAAACCTGTTAATCATAGTTTAAGTTGACTTATGAGTTAAAAAGTACCTAGTTAAAAAAGGGTAATTTAAACCAAAAACTAACGTTAACTTTAATTTAAATATTTCTGCAGCATGCTACTTGGGTGGTTCTACTATTATGTTGACTGTGTTATTAAGCGATTTGTAAAAGGTATTTAAAAAAAAATTGTAGTTATCGTAAAATTGTTAATTTTATGTGGGTACTCGTGACCTTGATAACAAAACTATAGTTTTTCATACGTTTATACAAGTTTGTTCATTTCATTTTTACTGTATTAAATTTATAGGTCTAAATTTATTTCATGTTGCATGTGTATTATGATTAATGTCAATTGATAAAAAATACACGTTTTTAGATGTGTAAAAATTCAATAAATACCTTCAGTCTAGACGTGTCTGGGGTAAATTACACTAAGATAAAAATCTTATGTTTTATAAAGAATAAAAACTGACACAAAATAATTATTAAAAAATAGGTTAACAATAACAACGTTAAATAGGGTTGATGACTGTATCCAATTAGTGACTTATTATTATATGGGTGGTTCTACAAAAGTTTGCCAACTTTTGACCTCATTTTGTTTATATAGTTTTCGGAGAAAATTAAACAGTATTTTGTTATGAGAACATAGATAATATAATAAATATACTGTTCCAGACCTGGCCAGTCGCTTTTTCAAACAGTTTCTGAAATATCTGTGTTTTCTAAATTTTAATGCAAGGGAAGTGACGAGTATACCAGGGTACTAATTAAATACATAATTTATTAAAAAACATAAGATTTATTGCAACTTTGAGCATATTATGCATTAAATATCTTAAAATCAAATAATACCACACATCAGTGGCGGCTGGTGGATTTTGGGTAGGTATACCGATATCTCAATTATTAGATATGGGACCCACACCAAATTTATATGAGTATATAATGACATTGAATAAACAAGTTCTGCGCGAGCTGAATTTAAATTGAAGTTTGCGAAAAAAGATAACCGAAACATCGAACATGGAACTGACGACACGGTACTGATGAATGGGATACAAATTTGAAATTATAATTCGGAATGAAGTATTTTACTGATATTTTTTATTAGTAAATTCTACTTATCAACAAATCACATATAGCCTTATATAAATTACAATGAAATATATATGCGTAAGAAAATAACTACCCACCACAGTACTGAAATTTTGACTGGAACTATACGTGCATTCACCACAACTTGCTTGTATTGTTTTCAAGATGACTGTCGTGCAAAGGGCGGGCTTTGTAGGTAATTTTTTACCAACACTTGAGTTAAAACGAGGACTTGACGTATAAACTTCAATATTTCGCAGAAATTTTGAATTTTAACATTGGACACAGAACTGACGGGTAAAAGTGAGTACGAAGATTATCAATTTTTAAAAAATTGCTATTATTCGAATCTATGATAAAATATGAAAAATACATTATTTAATGTTTTATAGTTTGTAGTGAAATTGGAAAATTTAAGATAAATTGAATATATTTTAAAATAAAACCACTCAAATATTTGATTCAGGAGTTGTGACACGCCAAGGTACTGATGTTTTGAATATTTATTATGTTTTTCTACAAACGTGCTTTTAAAAAAATACATTAAAATTGGATGGACAAGTTAAAAAACCTGGATCTTTTGTAATATACTAAAATATTTACAAAAAAAAATAAAATACCTACTCTATTGACTGATGACATCAAGTTGTCCAACTTTTGTAGAATCACCCATATATTTTTTTAAATAATGACATGAAAATCATTAAAACATTAAATGTAAAGCACAAATTAAAAACAACCAATTATACACGTGGGTATACGTAAGAGTATATGGTAATTTAAATAAAATATGAGTACAATTAATAATTTTCCATATTTTATTTTTATTTATTGATTATTAGAAAGACCGGACTTTTAAGCATTTAAGCAGCAAAATTCGCTTGTTAATAATTAACATTATTCAAACTCACGATAACGTTTTCAAAATAATTCTCATGACTCATATTAATCAGTAAAACCACCAGAGTAAATTGTTTTATTTTAATCAGCGAAATTGCGAACTTTTTGGCTATAAATTAGCATACTGTCGCCGCGTTTTTAATCAATTAAATACACGAAACATTCGCATGGACTCGCCTTCTGAAGTTTGGATAATATTTATGATTTTTTGGCCTAAATAAATATACGAAAAAATGCGTGAAAAAGGATTGGTAGAGGCGTGTTAACATCTGAATTGTATTAGTGTAATTAATTCACACGTACCAATTTTGCATTGTGGTTTTTAACATATATTTTTTTTTTAATTAATTTTATAAAACTCGTTTATAAACTTTTCTAGACCCTCATTTTTATCAAACACTCGCTTGTGCCTATAAAAGTACCTTTCTGGACTGTTTAAATGGACCACCCTGTGTATAAACAACTATTAATTTATCTTCATTACAATATCGAACATTTTATAGAAATTTATTGAAAACATGTTTCAAATTTGGCGGAGGCGCCGGGATTAATTTTAATATTATGGAAGTATGTTTATAAAGAATAACTTTAACAAAGTATTTTTAATTTAGTGGGGTACAGGGTGATAAAAATTAAAAGGCACTTAAACTTTCACACAGGTCCACACTAAATAGTGTTGTTTTATAACACTACAATTAGACTTAATTTGTAGTGTAATTTTCCCCAAGTAAGCAAGTATGATTTAACACTATAGCACTGAGGATAAAGTAATTTTACACTGTATTAAAAAGTGTTAATTTACCTAAAATCGTGTACTTCTACACTTCCTGGGTAAAATCCCACTTTTGTTCAGTGTAAATTAACACTACTTTGGAAAAGTTCTAATTTTAGAAAGGTACTTTTACTATTTTAGTGCAAACTTCTAGTGTAAATTAACACTATTATTTGAGTAAAACCCATTGGTGGTAGTGAATAAAACGAAAAGGTAAATAAAGAGAAACATTTATTTGGAACAAAAATCTATAACAATTATCTAAATCGGTGCCTTTTAAAATATAATTTTATATTTGAGTCGTATGGCTGGCTTAAGCAAAATGGTTCCTTAAAACGTAAAAGCTTTAGATCAATGCAATGTTTTACTGGCTGTCAACTTGTAAGCAATGAATTTTCTTGAGAAGTCATCAGTAATCCATTTTTCTGTTATAAAAATGGGTGATTCCATAGAGAGGCGTCAGGCGGCTGTATGTCGGGGATTTACCACACGTGTACAAATTTTCCATAATATTAATAAAAATGTAGGTATAGGTTAATATAACAACCATTACGCTTGGAAATACAAAGTAAATCAAGTGGGTATGTATTTATATTATTAATGTTACAAGTACCCGACTTACTGCTGTAAATTATTGATATATAATATAGGTCGGGTATGGACATCCTTTTAACATAATGGTATTTATTGAGTATTAAGGCTTAAAGAAAAAGGAAGTATAATACTTACCAAAAAATAATGGATTCACCGTAATTAAAATCTAACTGAACAAAAATGCCACACTTCCACAACGCAGTATCTCCGGATATGCACTGCGTAGGTAGATAGGTACCAACCAAACATTTTAAAACGCATTTCGGTTATTACAAGTTTTTCAGTCTATTTTGCCACTATTAGTGTAATTTAACTTTAATTGTGATACAATGTGCACTAGTAGTGTAAAGAAAAGAGAGCTCTTAGTAACATCAAAACAGACATAGAAATTGGCATGCACTGTAGTGTACATTTTGTCACTATTTAAAACATTAAGGGGTAATAAACACTCGCATTAAGTTTTTGTACCATTTTGATTTATTTTAATAATGAATAGTGTGAATGTACCAATATAATGTTCATATTCTTTAAATTTTTACTGTATAATTGTAGGTCCGTAAATTACATCACTCAACGACTTGAACGTCCTTTGACACTTAAATAAAAAATTGCTATTACGACAGCTGGTGTCATAATAACAGAGGCAAATAAAGAAGGATGACAGTGATTATGCACGACAAAACAAAAAATCACATCAAGTTCGCGAGCCAACTATGTAGACAAAACGCATGGTTCGATGGTCGTACTACCCAGTGGAAATGGTAGCGGCAGCAGCCAGTTACTCTTCTATGTTTTATTCCACTCTAGTTCGGTGTAAACTGTCATTCGGCGAAGACAACATCGGGTACCCACTATTGAAAGGTGCATGTGCAACTTCAACAGACTTTAGTTTTGGTTTTGCTAAGTGTGTTATAATTGCTTGAATTTTTGTTCTTTTTGTTATTGGTAGGTATTTTTTTAAATTTAAACAACACCCTGTACATAAATTTTTAAATATTTTTATTTACTAAAAAAGTCTAATTGAAAAATAGCAAAACTTTTTTCATGTCTTAATGTTAAGACAATTAACATTCCTTTGTTCAAATTACAATAATAATTATGCTTATGAAAATCATAAATGTTAACAAAACTTCTTGCAACACAACAAAACACTAAAAATCTTAATAACACCTACAAGGCATACATTATAATAAAACAATACAAAATGCGTTTTTTTAATTTAAACATTTTTAATGAAATATTGGATCAAATTATCCCAAAATCAAAGGTAAACCGATGAAAATATCATTCAAAAGGGAAAGTAGGCCTATAAATAACGAAATTTAACAACTTCAGTATAATTTGCAAACCTGTTTGCGTTGTGCTAAATGTATATTTAGTAAGCATATAGGCTCTATACAGAGTGTCTATTTATTTAAATCACTGTTATTCTGCAAGATGTCCTGTGACGAAGAAATCACTATATTACTTACTCTCTAAAAATGAATTCATAGCGAAAAAGCAGCCACTAATAATTCTCGTCAACAGCAATTTCTATCCAGGACATTTAGCAGTCAATTCCTATGAAATATTATTCGCTGAATCCGAAAATGTCGTCAAAAGTTAGTTGGAATTGACTATATCTCAAAAACTGCTTAACTTTTATAGTTTTTGACGGTATTTTCGGATTCAGGGGACAATTTTACATAAGAATTGGCTGGTAAATGTCCGGGATACAAATAGAGTATGTCCAATAATAGAAATTTACATTTTTACCAACCAGTAATTGGACATTGGCCATTTTACTGTTTGTTTTCAGAATTAAAATTAAAACGCATTAAAGTGACAATGTTTAAACCATGAGGAACACATTTATACCACACACTGATCTGTACACTTTTTAGAAATATTTTTTGTTGTAATTTAAACACAGCCCTGTTTTTAACAACAAACAAAAATCTTACCACCAAAGTAACGTGCGAACTTTTTTGTCCTATATTGGACCCAAAATAAAGTAGTTCTATATGGATTGTTAGAAGAGTACCAATAAAATGGCCTCCCAGATCTCCAGAACTGACACCATTAGACTTTTTCTCATGGGGTCACTTAAAATCTGTGGTCACTTTTTTCTTTATGCTTTTTTAGTTTAGTTTTTAATAAAAAGTACTACTTTTTTAAAGCAGTACCCAACAAAAACACTTTCTTTTAGTTTTATTCGTGATTGATAATATTCGTTTCCCTGCCAAACAGTTGATATAAAAGTCAGCGACCTTTAAAATTGCTTCATGTAATAAAAATTTAAATTCAATTCAACGGTATTGTCCAAGTGTAACGCTTTTATTTAAAGAGAAAAAATAAATGAAAGTTTCTGTTTTTTCGCAAAGAAAATGTAGCGAGAAGCGCTTAAATTTGCATAAAGAAGGCAGTTGTAATTTGTGAAAGTAGAAGTGCAATGAAAAATTAACAATTTACAGATTTTAGATAAAGTCGGTTAATCGTGTTATTTTCTTTCAGTTTCAGGCAAATTAAAATGTCCCATGTCACAAGTAGAGAACAAAGTGCAAGTGAGGTGAAAATAGTGCTAAAAAATAAGTAAATGGATCCAACATTGGATTTACCAACATAATGCTGAGGATATATGGACGACTAGTATTATTTCTATTCTTTTTTCTATTTGGAAATCTTTGGACCTACGAGGTATTACTTTTATCAATATTTCTACATTCGACGACCTTCACCACACCTAAATTGCTTTAACTTTATGCCCATTAATTTTTATTAGTTTACTTTTTCTTGTATTCTCGGCAAATTGCCCGCATAAAAGCAGATCATTTATTTAAATATCTGGCAACCGTATAAAACTCCTTAATGGTCTTTATACGAAAAGTTTTATTCCATTTCAAAGGAAGAGTAATGCTACTTTTAAATACAAAAGGCACTTTATACATATATATTGTAACACAGGTTTCTATGGCTTTTGACAGTTGCAGTGACATTTCTATATGCAGTGTTATTTAAAATCTTAAAACCACCAAATAAATTCTCCAATAATTTTTGAATAAAATACTTGGTTTTATTTTTTAAATTTACTTATTTATTTCGTTTTAATATTCTGCTAACACTGCTCTGGGATATTCCCAAATCTCCAGATAATCTTCGAACTAAATTGATTAAATAAAGCTAAACTATGTATAAATAGTTTCTTTATACCTTAATTATTATTTATAACTAAATATCATTTTCTTACACCTTAATTAGGATTAAATTAATTAATTGACAAAATAATGTTTTTTTTACCTTAAATGAGGTATTTTTATTAAAAAATGTACAATAATCCAAAAATTAAAATTAAAGGATTTAATGCTGACAGGTAAAAAGTGACCATGGTGAGAAATTGATAATTATCACCGAATGAAACTTAAACCAAAGGAAACTTAAATATTAGTTAAAAAATCGTGGGTACTTAAAAATTAAAATCATATTTAATTTAATAAGATAATTATTACCAAAAAAAGTGATATTTTTATAGAAAAATTATTGCAGAATCGTATAAGAAAAAAAATCGAACTAAATTGATTTTTTTAAATTACAGCGCCATCTATTACAAATATGAAAAAATGTTTTAGACAAATTCTATCTATTTTTAGGCGAATGATCCGAATCTGCATTAAAAAATAGGGTTTTCCATTGGAAATTTTAAAGTTACCCCCTGTTCCCCCTATAAGGAGGGAAGTATGAGTACCAATTTTAGTACTGATTGATTTCCCCCCTCGAATCATTTAATTTTTATTTTAAACATTTTTTCGCAGAATGCATACTAACTGAGATATTTCAAAGTTTCAAGTTTCAAACATCCCGTGTGATCTTAGCAACTTTAATGGTTATTTACCCGGAAACCAAACTGTCAATATTTCTCAAACTTTGTAAATGTTTTTCTCTACGACTACTTAAGAATAGTAACATTCTAGTGTAATTTTTGATCATAGAAAGGATGTTTTTCTGCAATACCGTGCGAGAATATTCCTACTCTTGTTTAAGAATGGTCACAAGTAACGACATCTCCTGGCTGTTTACTAAACGTAAAAAATTTAAAAATATTTAAATATTACTGTATTATTTATTAATTAAAAAATAATAGCAGTTGTATAATTAAGGTTTAGGCACAAAAAATTAGTTATATTTATTGTTTTTTAAATATACAAATCAAAATTATAATAAATTTGATATTGAAATGATAAACCAGTTACCTACTATACCGGCTTTGAAGTTTTGACAGATTCAAAAAGTTAAAAAAAGACCTTTAAAATGTAGAAAAAGAATAGATGTTGACATAGATTACTTGTAAATTTAGTTTTGTATTTGTTACAATGTTATTTTTTTTATTAGTTAGTGTAAATAACTATTTTTAATTATAATAAAGATTTAGGCATACCATTTGTTTAAATTTATTATAATTTACATTATAAAATTGTGACGGCACAAAATGGTTTGACAATACAAAAAACTTAAATGTCAAAAACTGCTTGGTTTCTTTTCTCTGTTTAAAATTATATAAGCGTTACTATTCTTACGTAGTCGTAGAGAAAATAATGTCTGAAACACGTTTGGAATAGCATATTCCACTCTCGTAACCTCGAGCGGAATATGCTGTATTCCAAACTTGTTACAGAATGTACTATTAAGTAGAATTTACCACAACATACAAATTTTTCAACATTTTCTCATAGCAAGTTGCCCAAAGTTTAAGCCCAACAACGTTTTAACAACAATTAAATAATAATAAATAAGTTAATCAATGAGGCTTATTAGTTGCTATTAGCAACTAATAAACCTCATTGATTAACTTATTTATTATTATTTAATTGTTGTTAAAACGTTGTTGGGCTTAAACTTTGGGCAATTCATGCATTGTTTGCGAAATTACCATTATCTTTTTCGTTCGCATCGTAAATTTTACCTAATTTTAAACAATGCACGTAATAAATATTGTAATTTCCTGCTGAATGCAACTCCGCGACAAATAGCATAACAATTAATTATTTAAGAAAAAAACAGGAACCGTTTGCAGCAATAAGCTCCGTTATTTGTCACCTCGATTGTGAATTGTTTTTGTTCCGCCATGTTGTTTGCCCGTAACGAAATGATTTGCTAGTTAGTGGCTTAATTTAAGATGTCTATCGACTTTGACATTTAAATTCAAATAATTGAGGTTATGTAGGGTAAAGTAGACAGTTATTGGACACTTTATAGTTGGGTCGTTTTCAAAAAACACCCGCCTTCCGCTGTCAGTTTGAATTCCAATAACTTTGTTGAAAATTATCGGATCTTATTGATTTAAAAACCAAGTGAAAGCCTTAGTAAACTTTTTCAGAAAATTTTTGTTTAGTTATTTCAGAATATTTTTTTTTAATTTTGAAACTTGTGAAACTAACATTTTCGCATATCCCATTAGCGTTTTATAAAACTTACATACATGTTTTTTTTTTTAAATATTGAATAACCAGAACTTTATGTTGCTTTATAGCAATCCATAACATCCTTAGTTAATACAGTAAACAATTTATATATAAAATAATTAATTTTAATCTACTTTCTTTAAATTTGACTCATGTCCCAGACATTTTTTCCGTTGCGTTACGTCCGTCGCGTTACCGATAGAATATTAAAAAAAACCTATATATGGGGCAACTTTTTTGGTACTCACGTGATCAACAAATAATGTTCGGACGTACACATTACCCAGCTGAATTTATTTATTCAATCAGGAAGAAGATATCGGTTGAAACAGGTGCGGGTAACGCGAATGTAATAATTGTTTGTCCGCTAAGTTACTCAAAAAAATAATAAAAATACTATTTTTCATGTTTATGTTGATTTTAGGGCACTAAAGCTCATTGAGAGTAATTAATGACTATAATGTCTTCTTATTATTTTTTAAATATGGTTTTACAAAACTTTGTCCACTGCGTTACCAAGTCCACTATGTTACTTTATGGTAACGCAATGGAATTTAGGGTAACGCAATAGAATTTTTCGACAAAAAAGTGGATATTTACCGTCGCTTTTATTAAAAGTAGTTTATGATTAACCTATTTAAAATTATTTGTAATTACAACTCATGATATAGATTACATCCAAGGAAAAATTCCACGCAATATAAAAGTACTAAAAGGGACCTTCACCAGCTTATAGTAAAAGAAAAAGGGTGTCTACAATTTAGAAATATAAGTTGTTACTCTGCAAGTGAGCACCACTACAAGGGATTTTGTTTATGCATTACTCTAAAATCGTACCACCCTATATAGTTTCTTTTTTACGTTATCTGATTAAGTCCTTTGTGTACCCCTGTCCGTTGTGATACCAATGTCTATTTCGTTACTTTTTTTAGTTTTTCTTAAAAAAAAAATACTTAAAATGATTTTTATACACTATCACTTGGTAATACGTGTTTATAAATTAGAGTTTAATCCACTAATACAGTGACTAAAAGAAAATATTAATGGTATTGTTTTTTTAACAAAGAATCGGAATGGTTTCTTTTAAAAAGTAACTTAACGAACATACATATTAAAAAAAAAAAAATTGGAGTCAAAAGTTTGTGAAGTAATTGCATTTTATTTCAAATTATTTTTATAACAACTTTTTTTATTCAATTAAATTTTGGATTTCAAATTGGTAACACAGTAGAGATATATAAAGCTAGCTAAACACATTTTTCTGAAAGAAACGTAAAAAAATTAAAAAGTGCACTGCCTGTCTTAAATGTAAGTAAACAAAACTCTAAACATTTATAAAAATCCAACCAAAAGTCAATTTAAGCAAAAAAATATTTTGATCTTCATTTTCCTGAAAGCGGGTGTTTCTTGAAAATGACCCATATAACAACGGCATATATACATTTTAAATAAATAATATTCCTTAAGTGTCCAATAACTATGTGGTTTATCCTATAGGATAAACTGCTAATTTCTTATCTAATTTTTTATTCCAAAATATTGTTAAATCATTTTATAGACCATCAAATCTTGACAAACGTCCAGTTTTTGGTAAATTGCCATAACGTCCCAATAAATTTATCCCGGTAGCCTGCATGTCTGCGCTCAATTTGATCAATGCAAAAGGCACATCGAGTCGCCCATGATTCCTAATATGGCATAAATCGACTCGGCATCAGTGGCAGCAAAAGAATCTTTATGTGCTGGTTCAGTAGGTTACCGCTTAAAATGGATTTTCAAGAAATGAAAACTCGAGACATCTTCATGACACCAAGACATGAGGCCTGTATTTATAGACGAAATCGATAATTATATTACATGTATGAACCTACATACGTATACGGTGTGTAACAGCCAAATGGAATAATTTTTATAAATGTTTACTTACATTTAAGACAGGCAGTGCACTTTTTAATTTTTTTTTACGTTTTTTTCAGAAAAATGTGTTTAGCTAGCTTTATATATCTCCACTGTGTTACCAATTTGAAATCCAAAATTTAATTCAATAAAAAAGTTGTTATAAAAATAATTTGAAATAAAATGTACTTAGTTCACAAACTTTTGACTCCAATTTTTTATTTTATTTTTTATTAAAAATTGTAAGTATGCTTTTTTTTAAATATGTAAGTTTGTTAAGTTACTTTTTAAAATAAACCATTCCGATTCTTTGTTAAAAAACAATACCATTAATATTTTCTTTCA